GGGGGGGGGGGGGTTGTTTGTTTTTCTTTAAAAGATCTAGAGTCAAACTTTATCTTCTAGCAGATTGGCTTCTGCAAGTACCTGCGGCTCTCCATGTTAAACTCCAATTATCTTACAATTCTCATGTCTACAACAGGTTTAGATGCTGAATCCAATTATTAATTCTAAATGCAAGGAAGACTGAAAACACAGCAAAGATTCTCTCCTTGGGAAACTCAGCTCTGCAGCATTCCAGGGGAGCATAAGCTTCTCAGTCTTAAGCAAACAACAGTAGAAAAAAAAAATCATTTCACATTTTAACAGCCCTGTTTGTGTTATGCATGGAGTTAATTTATATCAGAAAGTATTAGTTTCTTCCTTTCAAGTTTTCCTTCACCTCCAGGCATATACAGTACATTTCTTTATCTGCAATTACCACGGATTATAACATGGAGGTAGCAGTTAACATCTTTCAAGTTTTATAGGAGTTATTCTTTCATGGAGTAAACAGACTGACTTACTTGGAACAAGCCTACTGAAAAGCTTACACAGTAAAAACCTGAGGGCTTTAGAAGTGAGAGCCCTTGCAGAGACCAAACAGCCAGGCTGATCTGTAATTCCACTCGTAGCACATACATTTGAAGACAAGAATACCGCAGTATAGATCAAAACCAGAGCACTACACACAATGTCAAGAACCTAATTGTTAGCTTAATGTTCAGTAGTTGCTACCATCAGAATAAAAGCACACAGATTCCATTGTGAACAGGCTATGAATTACATGCGAGCAATTCCTTTGTGAACGTAACAGCTCTGGATGTTAGCAGTTTTCCTAAATTGGGAATGCCCCCAACAACATGCTCTTGAATAGGAAGGGGGAAAATACCTTAAAAAAACAAAAAATTTCCTCACTAACAGCAGCAACACCCACCTCTAACAACACTTCTCAACAGTTGCTCTAACAGAGCTCTTACAGAGGAAGTCAGTACCACTCTCTCCATTTTACAGAGGGGAAACGAAGGCATAGGGGCTTCCCCAATGTCAGGTAGCAAGCCACTGGCAGAAATGAGAAAAAGTCTGGTGTCCCAGTGCTATGCTCTACTTACTTGGCTTACTGCACTCCTCAGCAGGAGCAAGCCACTCCGGCTGGTTGGTTTTCAAAGGGATGCTATTTTGGGCTGCCTGGTGCTCTCAGTTCAAACACAGGCAGCAGGCCACAACTTCAGGTGTGTAGAAGAATTACAGTCATTGTGTAAAGGAGTGGTTCTCAGGCTTTTTAGGCTCAGATACACAAGGTGTGGGGGGCGTTAACTGAGCAGCACCCTATTTCAGGCACTACTTTATTTATTACAGTGCTCACCTGCCTGAAGAGGGACTGGGAAGGAGGAGGAAAGGCTGGCAGGAGCCCATGCTGCTGCAAGTGGGGGGAAGAGGAGCAGCAGCAGCTCGAGGGGAAAAAGACTTCATTTATCTCCTCACAGAGCCTGCACTAAGCAGCACCCTTCAAGACTGTTATAGCACCTTGGCTTCAAATCACCGATGCAAAGGAATAACGGATCAGTGGGAAATCCCCCTTTGAGAAACTGGATGCTAGCAGTGCCAAAACACTGAGACATCATACGTAGTCTTTCTGGACTTTAGGAAGGCCTTCAACACTGTCTCTCACCCCATTCTCATTAAAAAATTAGGAGACTGTGGTGTTGACACCTACACAGTCAGATGGATTACCAATTGGCTGGAGGGCCGCACCCAGAGAGTGCTGGAGGGACATGGGCAGTGCGGTTCCCCAGGGCTCGGTCCTCAGGCCTGCACTGTTCAACATCTTCATCAGCGACTTGGACGAGGAGGTGAAAAGCACCTTGTTCAAATTCACGGATGATACTAAGATGTGGGAGAAGTGGGCATGCTAGAAGCGAGGGACAGGCTGCAACTGGATCTGGACAGGTTACAGAGGTGGGTGGATGAGAATAAGATGGGATTCAACACTGACAAGTGCAAGGTGCTGCACCTGGGGAGAAAGAACCAGCAACATACCTACAGGCTGGGGAACTCCCTTCTCGTCAGCACAGAGACAGTAAAGGATCTTGGAGTCATTATTGATTCCAAGATGAACATGGGCCGACAGTGTGGGGACGCGGTCAGGAAGGCTAATTGCACCTTGTCATGCATCCACAGATGCATCACGAGCAGGTCCAGGGGAGGTAATCCTCTCCCTCTATGTGACACTGGCCAGGCCGCAGTTGGAGTACTGCGTCCAGTTCTGGGCACTGCACTTCAGGAGGGATGTGGACAGCATGGAGAGGGTCCAGAGGAAGGCCACCCGCATGATCAGGGGGCAGCAAGGCAGGCCCAACGAGCGGACACTACAGGACCTGAGCCTTTTTAGCCTCCACAAGAGAAGGCTGAGAGGGGATCTGGTGGCCATCAATAAACTGGCCAAGGGAGACCAGTAGGCAATGGGAGAGTCCCTGTTCCCCCAAGCACTACTTGGAGTAGCAAGGAATAATGGCCATAAGTTGATGGAGAGTAGATTCAGGCTAGACATCAGGAGGCACTACTTCACAGTCAGGGCGGCTACAATCTGGAACCAATTTCCAAGGGAAGTGGTGCTCACTCCTACCCTGAGGGTCTTCAAAAGGAGGCTAGACAGTCACCTAGCTGGGGTCGTTTGACCCCAGCATCCTTTCCTGCCTATGGCAGGGGATTGGACTCGATCTGCTCAGGTACCTTCTGACCCTACCTACTATGAAACTATGAACTATCGTACTGATGAGTAACTTACCTCCTTGGTATGCTCAGAAACTGCTGGTTTTCCTCATGGAGCTTCTTGATAGTTTTGGTCTCTTCTGCAGTCAAAAGGCCAGTCCGAGCCTCAGCAGAAACAAACGTGACATTCAGTTTCTCTGTTTAGAAAAGGAAGAACAGCTGGTCACATCCCTGATCAGAATGTGCAGATGTCACAATCTGGAATCCTTCAACAGGAGGATGTTTACACGAGCGTGCTATGATTGTGCTCAGTCTGCAGAGAACTGATCCGGAAAGAAAAAAAGACATTCATTCTCACTGCATTCAAATACAGCTGTTGCTACGTGGAAGCCATGATAGACAAGCTGCAGTTGTGTCGTATAAACTTAACAGGATACTTCAATCAACAGCTACTGCAGTGAATCTCTCATTGAGTTAAATGCCTTTTCTTTTCCTACACCCCTTGCCTCTCTCTCAGTAGTGCCCCCTTCTCCTTCCTCTCTCCTTCTCTACCCTCTGTATTTTAATCACTGGTTTCTATTTACCCGCTCTGCTCCCAGCAGTCCCTTCATAACATCTGACAGAGTCAGCCCCTGCTTCTGAAAGCACCTGCTATACATCTCTAATGTAGCTGGTCTGATAAGGTACAAATTGACCCTGCTTTGTGCCTGCCTTCAGGCTGCCACAGCTAACTACCTCTTATTGAAATGAACCCAGCTTGATTCCTTCTAGCAGATTTTCAATATAAAGGCTTTGCTTTAGTCAGTGTTTGGAAAAAGGACACCTAGTGCTCAGAGACTGGAGTCCTCCAGCAACCGAGTAGGTTATGTAAGGTTTCCATATGCACGCACACCTCTGCTAACATGCCGTTAGCTTCTAAAGCCAAGAACTTATCTCCATTCAACCCCTGAGTCTGCAGTTGAGAACGCAACTCAGACTTTCAAGTGTGATGGTTATTCGTGCAACATGCACAGGGTCCACCAGGAAAATGAACCATGAGCCACGATGCAAAAGGACTCATTTCCAAGCACACCATGAAATAGATTTAAATACAAAATCTCTTGTCATTCTTTGGGTGCAAGTCTGCGGGGGCAGGGGAAAGGAGGGGGATGTTGCTTTCAGACTTCAGCCAATCAACCGATGCTGAATCCAAAGACAACCCTTTGATTCGAATGAAGATCAGCAGGTTCACACGCTGCTTTGCCCCAGGGTAATGAAAGATGCAAAGTGAAACCCCGCATTTTGGCTCCGTGTAAGGCTGGGAAATTTGTAGATCTGAAGACCCAAACAAAATAATAGAGAGTCTAGTCTGACCTCCCACCTGACATGCCAAAGAAGTCCATCTGATTACTGCTGTTTTGAGCCAACTGTCTGCATCAGACTAACGCAGCAGTTGGCAGCCTTTCAGCAGGCGGCCAGAACAGCCCAGCTCAGGGCCCAGGTGGGAAGGTGCTAGGACCAGCCACCCCCCACTGCGTCTCCCTGCTGCCCAGCTGTGCTGCGAGCGAAGCCCCAGCACCACAGGCTGGTTCCGGCCCATGAGCCATCGGCTACCGCTCCCTGGCCTAAAATACACTTTACTGCAAGGTCCCGAGAACTGATTTCAAGGCCTCAGGCAACTGGGAATGCACCATTTCCCCCAGCAGCTTTTCCTCAAGAGTTGGTCATCCACCTGCTTGCATATATCACGTGCCCTCTTGCTACGTGGCCTGGCTCAGCATCCAGCCCACGGCTCTTGTTAGCGTTTCTCTGGCAGATTAAACAGCCCGCTGGTAATGGCGACGTCCCCCACAGCAGCAGCGAGCTTTTCAGAGGCTCTGCCAGTCTTTGCTACACAAAGCAGGTTGAGCTTCAGTCTCCCCCTGCAAAGCATTTCCTCCAGCCCTGCAGCTCTTATCTACTAACCCCACTCCCCTTCCTGAGTGGGATGAACCCAGCTGTCCGGGCCCCTAGCTCCCCCTGCTCCAACCCACCAGACCCCACTCCTCCCAGAGCTGGAGAGAACCCAGGCGTCCAGGCACCAGGCCCTGCTCTTACCTTAAAATTCTCTACCCAGAGCTGATAGGACTTCATTGTACCTAGAGCAGGGAGGGGGACAGGAAAGGGCATCAAT